CAAGGTGCAGGCAGGGGGCTCAGGGCAGGGAGTTAGGGGGCAGGGGGTTGGGGTGCAAGGTGCAGGCAGGGGGCTCAGGGCAGGGAGTTAGGGGGCAGGGGGTTGGGGTGCAAGGTGCAGGCAGGGGGCTCAGGGCAGGGAGTTAGGGGGCAGGGGGTTGGGGTGCAAGGTGCAGGCAGGGGGCTCAGGGCAGGGAGTTAGGGGGCAGGGGGTTGGGGTGCAAGGTGCAGGCAGGGGGCTCAGGGCAGGGAGTTAGGGGGCAGGGGGTTGGGGTGCAAGGTGCAGGCAGGGGGCTCAGGGCAGGGAGTTAGGGGGCAGGGGGTTGGGGTGCAAGGTGCAGGCAGGGGGCTCAGGGCAGGGAGTTGGGGGCAGGAAGGGGGCTCAGGGCAGGGAGTTGGGGTGAGAGGTGCAGGCAGGGGGCTCAGGACAGGGAGTTGGGGTGCAGGAGGGTAGGCTGTTTGCACGCAGGCCCGGGGCTGGGGATCTGGGCTCCCCCATCCCGGCAGGCAGGCTCGGGGGCCGGGCAGAGGCAGCCGGGCTGGATCGCAGAGGAGCTGGGCTGCTCCCAGGGCTGGACTCAAGGCCGAGGGTGCCGGGCCGGAGCCCCCGAACAGCGCCGGGGAGCTGAGCTCGCAGCCGGGCTGCGGGGGGGCCTGTGGGCCGGGCTCACCCCCTGCCCCGGGCCTGCTGGCTCCTGGACCCCACTTAAGGTGGGCTGGGCTCAGGGGCGGCCTGACCCCCCTGGGTGATGCCCGGGCCCCCGACCAGGGTGGGGAGCCGTAGGCGCGTTTGGGGCCCTGGGCGCTGGAGGGGGGCAGCTGCCTGGGGGGGGAGGCTGTGGCAGCTCCCCCGCAGGCCACCTTAAGCGGCTGTGTTGGTGCTGCCAGGTGGGAGGCTGCCAGCGAGCACATGGGGCTGTTAAAGCAGCCAGCCCGGCCCTAGGGAAGGGGAGCCCGGCTCAACAGGGTGCAAGCAGGGGGCTCAGGGCAGGGAGGGGGGGTGCAGGAGGGGTTCGGGCTCCGGCCCGGCGCCGCTTACCCGCAGCGGCGCGCTCCCTGCCTGCCAGTGCCCCATGCCTCACCACGTCCCTGCGCAACCCCGGGGGAGGGGCAGCACAGGGCTCAACACGCTGCCCCTGCCACGCCTCCAGGTACCTCCCCTGAAGCTCCCATTGGCCGCGGTTCCCCGTTCCCGGCCAATGGGAGCTTCGGGAGGCGGTGCCTGGAGCAACCCCCTGGCCCCAGAGACATGGTGCCCTGATGGCGGCTTCTGAAAGCAGCACGGGGCCTGCGGCACCACGGGAGCAAATCCCACGGGCCGGATCCAAAGCACTGAGGGGCCAGATCCGGATCCGGCCCATGGGCATTAGGGTGTGCCTGGGCACACCCGGCACACCCTGTGCGCACGCCTATGCCTATAGTATATCTGGCACCGCCACCGTCTGCAGCAGTCACCAAATTGCCCCCTTCTGGTGAAAACCCCACAGAAGAGGGTAGGGAGACTTCAGTGGCTCCATAGATAGTGAATCAATGGATTCCCGGCACAGCTGATGTGGGAGATGTGCATAACACACCCATTGTCCCGGCTACCACACTGCTCCTGGATTGCACTCGATGGTTGGGAGGCTGCTGATCTTCTGCCCGGGGACGGAGCTAGGTGGAACGATCAGCCTCTTGTCTTTAAACAAATCGGTGCCAGATCAGCTAGGGCCAAATTTTTATGTAGGTCCTTACTCAACCTTCCCTGCTAATTCAGGGTATGTCTACACTGACTGCCATAGCTATGCCAGCCTAATCTGGTAGTGTAGGCACAGCCTACACCAAGAGAAGGGGTTTTCTGTTGGTGTAGGAACACACACCCACACCCAAGCATGGGGAGCTAGGTTGATGGAAGTTGCATCTACATAGATGGAAGCATTCTTCTGTTGATATAATTGCGCTTACATCAAGAGTTATTTCAGCACAGTTTCAGCCCCATGAGTGTGGATTTCTCACACCCCTGACCGACATAATTAAATTGACCTAATTTTTCAGCATAGACCAGGCCTTACATGTGCAACCTAAACCAATACATGCCAGATTTAAATTGATGGAAGAGTGTCCACACACACAGCTGAATCTGTATAACTAAATCAGTTTAACATCACACCTATAGTTAAACTAGTGCAACTTCTGTATGTGAACAAGCCTTTAGAGCCAGATCCTCATCTGGTGTAAATCAGCACAGCTGTCTTCAATGGAGTTATGCTCATTTACAACAGCTGAGGATCTGGTCCTTATTGTGTAACCAAATATAATTCATTAGTTGTCAAACATTTTATTAAATAACCTGGGGGAGAGTTTCAAAAGCAACTGTGATGGGGGATACCAGGCTCAGAGGGCCCCCTGCTAGTGGCTTCAGGATCCTACCACAGCCCTTCCCCAAAAAGGAGCAGTGGAGCTGAGTCCTCCAAGTGGCCTAGAGAGGCTGCAGGGAGCAGCCAATCAGGGCCTAGCAGGCACATACAAAAGGAGCTGTAGTCAAGAACAGGAGTTAGTTACTGCTGGGAGCCAGAGAAGTAAAGATGGTGTTCATGGTTGGTGGTACCAGGGGTGTAAAAGATGCTCCTGGCAGGGTGCTGGGATGTGTTGTAGGAGCAGCAGTGATCTGTATGCTCTGTGTGACTATGCTATGTAATGTAATGTATAACCTGTACGCTCAAAAGGTCTGTAATACTTCTTCCCCCCCCCCCCCCCCCACTTTTGTCTCCTCTCGCTCTCTAAATACCTGTGAAGTGGCTTTCCCACTCCCCCTCCCTCCTGGAATGCTTGTGGGATAAATGGGCTGGTTAAACAGCTGGAAAATCAGAAGAGCTCCCACGTAGATAAGGTGTCTGGGACTCTAATTAGGCAGCACTCACACACCCAATGCATGGACACTGGCCGAGGTGGAGTGTAACCAGCCAGATGCAACCAAGTCATCTCTAGTCGCGGGTCATTAAAAGGGGAAGGGGCCATGTGCTCAGCAGTGCACTCACAAGCTTTTACCTCCCGTGAAGGCCTTTCGCCCGGACCACTTGGCCAGTGGTTCTCTGCATTGCATTCCATTGTGCCTCGGGAAGACTTACCTTCATCGCACCGTCCATTGCTGCGCTGTGGGACACTTACCTTGAAGGATCCTGACCTCTCCAGTGCTGTGCCTGTCCTGGGAGCGTGAGTATGCGAGAGTGACCCTCTTCCCGCCCACTTCTTTGGAGTTAGCTATCATTATAATAAATGTGCTGCTTTCTGCCAAACTCTGGTGGGTCATTAGTCCTCCCTAAGCTTACTGGCTGGCCCAATTTCAGGTAACAGGATGTGGTAGCTGAATGCCCTGAGGTAAGGGTGAAGCAAAGTTAAAAGGGATGCAGCACCATGTGGCTGCTCTTCAGTGCTGGGTTTATAATGGTGCCAGCCCCACAGTGGGGAAAGGGTCCAGAATCCTGGGTTGGGGATGTGGTGAGGGCAGCAGCTGTTGGCCCCTCACCTAAAGGCCGAGTGTGTAAAGGCAGCAAGTGGGAGGGGGTGTGGTGTTTCTGGCCTTGCCTCCCTCCCCCCCCCCCCAACCCCCCCCAGCGGTTCGTACCACTTGGTGGAGCCAGCGGAGGAGGCTTGGCAGGCCTGGGTCACAGGTTTCTTGTATGCCACAGACAGGTGGGCTCCCCTGTGGTGCCTCCTGTCACAGAGTCACTGGGCCAGTGCTCTGGAACAACTCCATGTGAAGCCGGTCTGGACTCTGGGGGAGTCTCCTCTCTCTGAGCATACTGTCACCAGGGCAAGAAGCTTACACGGCTTCAACTTTCCTGGGTCTGACCTTGGAGCATTCAGCATCCCCTTCCACACTGTGTGCTTCCCACAGTGAGTCTGCCCGGGCGGAGCTCCTGGGGAAGCCAGAGGGCCTTGCACCCCAACTCCTACAGTGAGCGGTGACTTCTCAGCCATCATGTAGAACAGAAGGTTTATTAGTTGACAGAAACAGAGCGTAGAACAGAGCTTGTTAGCACGGAAATCAGTGACTTTCAGCCAAGTCCATCTTGGGGAGTCCTGGGCCACACCGCAGACTTCCAGCGACCCAACCAGACCTCAGACACCCCTGTTGCTCCTCCTCCTTGTCTTTGTCTCACCTCCTGGGCAAAGAGTTACCTGGTCGTCACCTGGTGGCATCCCTCTCCCGGGTCTCAGGTTAAAAAGGGCACGGGTCATAGCATATGTGCAGGCAGCTGGAGCAGCCTCACCTGCCCCAGAGGTCTCAGCCAAAGTCTCACACCCTATTCCCATCACCGAGGTATTGGTGAAGCATACAGGAAAACTGAGGCGCGCACACACTATTTATGCAAAACAGTAAAACTCACATAGGCTCAACAGTAAGACTCACATACACCATAACAAGGAAAAATGCCCACTTTGTTACATCTCTCCCCCACTTTGAGACTGAACTGAGTGGGGTCACTTTAGCCAGTGGCCTGGGGAAGTTCAGGCCCCCCTCTCCGGGACCAGTACCGGGTTTACCATGGCACCGGGCCCACGCTCTAAAGGGGCCCTGACCGGCCCACTCTTCTCTGCTCCAGCTCCTGCTGCAGGGCAGGCTCTGCCAGCAGCCAAGCTCCCCCCTCCTCCGCCTCTTCCCCCGAGTATGCCATGTTCCTGCCCCTCCCCCTCCCAGCACTTCCCCTGCCACCAAAACAGCTGTTTGCCGGCGCAAGGGAGAGGGAGGAGCGGGGCTGCAGTGCGCTTGCCACTCGGGGGAGGAGACAAGGCAGGGGTGGGGCCTTGGGGAAGGGGGTGGAATCAGGGCATACTCCCTCCATCCCCCTGGCGTGAGCCGCTCAGGGCATGGGGCTGGGAGCACCCCCATAACCCCAGCCCACACCCCCAGCTCTGACTCCTGCACCCCTCCACACACCCCCATGACCCCAGCCCTGACTCCTGCACCCCCCCACCCCCAGCCTGAGCACCAAATGGGAGCTCCTGAACACCCCCCCCCCATTCCCACTTGCACCCCTCGCACCAAATGGGAGCTGCCCTAGGTAAGCACTCAACACCCCAACCTCCTGCCCCAACCCCTGAGCCCCCTCTCTCACCTTAGCTCCTGACCAGACCCTGCACCCCAACCCCCAGCCTGCTCCTGCACCCTAACTCCCTCCAAGACCCTGCACCCCCAGCCCCCTTCCGCATCCTAAGTCCTGGCCAGACCCCGCACACCAACATTTTCTTACATTTTTTTTTTTATAAAGCGCTCTTATCCAAAGCGCTTTACAATAGTTCGCTAAAGGTACAAACAATATTTGGAAAGATCATTAGGTGGCCTGTCGAGACCCTCCGCGATTTTCAAGTGGTCTGTAGAAAAATAAGTTAGACTACAAAAACAATCAAGGTACCTCACTTTATTTTCATTTACTTGCTATTACTTATAGGAGGAGGATGAAGAAAAAAAGAATGAAAAACGGGGGTGGGGGAAGATAAGAGAGAATGTTCTTTTTCTTGGCTGGGTCCCAAGGAGGGATCCCAAAAATGAAGCTGAGCACAGGGCCGCGGGGCCCCACTCACTCTAAACCCACCACTGACTGTTGTGTCACCTGGGCTGGGGATACTGTGTCGACTGATTCCCCACAGTCTCCAACCTACCTGGGCAGTACAGCAGACCTGGCCCTGCCCACTAGCTCCTCTCCACTCCCTAGCTCACCCACCACTTGCTTCCCACCTCCCACCACTTAAGGCTTAGCCCTCTCACTTTTAAAAATGATCTCTTTGTTTTCCAACACCTTCAGCTGGCACCTTGCAGCGGAGGGGCCCAGGCCATCAGTTGCCAGGAGACAGGGTGTCAGCCATTCTCTGTGCAGACAGCATCACACCTGCCTAGGCTCTGCAACAATCACACACCCTTATCCCACCACCTAGGCCTGGTCTACACTAGGACTTTAATTCGGATTTAGCTGCCTTAATCCGAATTAACCCTTCACCCGTCCACACTACAGAGCCAGTTAATTCGAATTAAAGGGCCCTTTAAATCGATTTCTGTACTCCACCTCGACGAACGGAGTAGAGCCTAAATCGATT